TCTTTGGTAGCGAGGGTCTTCTAGGGTAGGGGGAAGGTGATGGGGATAAAAGGAGGGAAGACGAGGCGGTGCTGAAACCGACGACGGCGGCGGCGGCGGAGACCCTGTTTACACTTCGCCAACTTCCTCGACTTCGACCTCTACGCCCTCGAACTCACCGTCGTCCACTCCAACTCCCACCTCCGCAAGCTCCTCATCTCCACCTCCCCCAAATCCGTCATCATCGTCGAGGATGCCGACTGCTCCCTCGACCTCTCCAACCACAAGAAACCCCTCCAGCCCGAAACCGACGGTGGCGACAGCGACTCGCCTGACCCCACGAGCAAATTTCTTGCTGTGACAATAAGGGCAGATAAGGATGACACCATGTCAACTTCTTATAAGGGAGACTTATTTTTTTGTTTTAATGCTGATGATTTTCCTGAGATTGCTATCTTACCTCCACTTCTAGAAGGAAAAGAATGGTTCTGTTTAGTTGATACTTCTCTTCCATTTCCAGGGTTCTTTTCTAGATTGTCTTCACTGAGGCTCGTTCGGGTTATGAACTGAAGCCTCACAGTTGCGCTTTGTTTGAAGTTAAAAAGAGTGCCAGCTGAGTTGACATTAATCTTATGTCTGCTACTTAATTTTTGTTTATGTTGTCAGGAATAAGATGAAGTAAATGTTCATCTGAAGTGTGCAAATAAAGTACATATATTTATTTATATTTTGTGCATAATTTTGATTCTTATTTGAATACATGTAGTGTGACTGGGAATAAGCTTATATTTTTATCAGGTATGTTGCATTATCTTCAAGAGAGCTTTCGGTAGAGGGCTTATATCGGTTAAAAGCTTTACATTTTGTCTGATAGTTATTTGAAGTTGTATCTTTATCTGCAAGGATAAATGTTTTCTCCCAGATTCCATAGAACAAATTGTTTCAAAATGCTACACGTGTTAGGAGATTTGGTTCTTATTGGCATTTTCTCTTGATGAAGATTGGTACCAAGGTCAAGAGCGGGTAATGGATCACAAATAACAATTAACGGATAATGGATTGTAGTTAACAGTTTACTGAATATAATTATCAATTTACCAATTAAAGTTAACTATTATTTCAGTTAACGGATAATGGATCAATTTACCAATTAAAGTTAACTGTTATTTCAGTTAACTTTAATTGGTAAATTGATAATTATATTCAGTAAATTGTTAACTATAATCCATTATCCGTTAATTGTTATTTGTAATTCATTATTCGTTAATTGTTATTTCGGGTCATATACACGTTAATATAGTTCTCATTTAACATGTTAACTATAATACGTGGCATGTTAACCTTAATTGGTAAATTGATAACTATATTCAGTAAACTGTTAACTATAATCCATTATATGTTAACTATTATTTATAATTTATTAATTATTAATCATTATTTGTTAACTGTTATTTATAAATTGTTAACTATAATGAATTATCTGTTAACTGTTATTCGTAAACTGTCTGTTAACTATAATTCATGTTTGCCACAAGAGTTAACATGTTATCCATAATAGTTAACATGTTCGCCACAAGAGTTAACATGTTAACCACAAGAGTTAACATGTTATCCACAAGAGTTAACATGTTAGCTATAAGAGTTAACAAATTAGCCACAAGAGTTAACATGTTATCCACAAGAGTTAACATGTTAGCTTTCATGTTTTAGATTTTAACCCTTCGTAACTTATTGCTTTTTAAGGTATGTCGATGTCATCGTTAGTGATAACAACACAATTACATACCCGGAACTACTGTATTTGTTCCGCGGGGGAAGACTCGATGACAAAGTAAAAGAGGCCATCTTAGATAGATTATGGTAATGATTACAGTTGTAAGAGAACGCTACCTTAAACAAGCAGTATGAGATTGCATCTACATATTTCTACGTAAGACCAATCCTCATATAATTAGTTAATATCTAAGCTCTTATAGTTAACATGTTAACCATAATAGTTAACATATTAAAAACAACCGTTAACCATAACAGTGAACATGTTAGCCACAAGAGTTAACATGTTATCCAGTTAACATATAGCCACAAGAGTTAACATGTTATCCACAAGAGTTAACATATAGCCACAAGAGTTAACATATAGCCACAAGAGTTAACATGTTATCCACAAGAGTTGATATGTTATCCACAAAAGTTAACATGTTATCCACAAGAGTTAACATATAGCCATAAGAGTTAACATGTTATCCACAAGAGTTAACACGTTATCCACAAGAGTTAACATGCTAACCTCAACAGTTAACATGCTAAATATTATGGTTAAAATATTAACTATATGAACTTGAACCATGTTCACATGTTAAAGACCGATCTTCCTTAATATCTTAATTTTGTATAACAACATTCAAAACTGACCTGTAATATGTATTTATGTTTTGTTATTTGTAGCTATGACTGTGGGATATACGTTTACATGTAATGGGTAAAACTTAACAACTAATTAACAAAACTTAACATTTAAAATGAAAAAGTTAACACTTACTCCACTATACTTAACATGGAACATGTAAACGTTAACAGTTAATTTGCTATAGTTCACTTGTATTGGGTAAAACTTAACATTTATACATCCATTATTTTAAATGAATATTTTTGTATGTAGGTTTTTATTCCTCAATTATCAACCATCATGTACAAACTGCATATAATTTTCAAGCCAACAAAAATTGCCTATGTATATAAACTACATATAGTTTGTACATTATGTGTATAATAAACTACACGACAAATAACACCACTTACTAACAACAATGACCACAATGCATTCCCAAAATCCCACCATGCAATTTGCAATATCAACAACAATCAAACTGCATAGAGAACAACATCAAACTCCACCCCCAAAAAAAAACCCAAAAATTAAAAAAAAATTCAACCCCAAAAAAACCCCAAATGAATAGACTTTGGACTTTACACCAAACGGTCGTTCATTTTAAATCTTTAATACTACACCACCAAGCCTTTCTCTTTCAGTGTACACAAACAAACCATGATATGATACGAAAACCCAAAGTAAAGAAAGAAAATAAACAAATAAAACATTGCATTCTATCTAATTTTCTTTCTCGTTCCCTAAACTTTTCATGCCCCCCTCTCTCTCTAAAAATCAAAATCAAAATCTCTCAGATGGAGGAGAAATCCCGATTCTTGGCCGACAACCTCTTCAAGAACTCGCAGGTCATGATCATCGTCATTGCCAACAGCGACATCGAGGCCCATCTCGGCCCGAACCCTCGGTAACAAGCGAAGTGACTAAAGTAATATCCGATGCCGCCCCAGATCCAAGCGCTGGGAGACGGAGTAGGATGCCCACCAAACGGCGTTAGACGGAGACGGAGTAGGACGCCCACCAAACGCCAGCAACCCGTCGTCGCCGCCAAGGAGGACCTCGAGGCGAGCGCGCTGCTGGCAAGCACCACAAATTTTTTTGGTGTTTGGGGATTGAGGGGGCTGGGGTTAGAGGGGAGATGATTGAAGAAGAAATGGGGAGGGGTAAAGTTGGGATCTTGGGTTAAAAACATATAAAAAAGGGGAGATGATTGAAGAAGAAATGGGGAGGGGTAAAGTTGGGATCTTGGGTTAAAAACATATAAAAATGGGATAATTATGAGCTGGAGGGGCTGGGACATAATTTTAACAAAAGTTGGGGGCTGCAGCACATCAGAAATAGTATGAGGGGCTGGGGCACATCACATTTTGGATTTTGGGGCCTTGAAGCAATTTTTCCTAAAAAAAATTCAAACCACACCCTCAAAGGTTCAAAATCATAACGTTTCCTTGATATAGGGAAATGCAATTCCATGTAAGAAATATAAGTTTTGAGTTTTCCAAACTTTTCCAAGAAATAGATTGTTTTGCTTTGGTTCGCACATAAAAAATGGTGAGAAACCAATGTATTTATTTTTCTTGTGTTTGGTTCGCATAGAAAAAAAAGGAAAACTTTTGTAAACAAAACAGAGAAGGAAAAAAATCTGACGTGGCAGAGTTTTCATCAATTTCACTCGATTGGGGAAGGAAATCGGAGAGGGAAAAAAATCTGAGCTGGCGGCGATTTCAACAGAGTTTTCCCTCTTCCATCCGAGCGAACCAAAATGGCACAAAGAAATGGACGGAAACAAAAAAACTGACGTGGAGAGCTAAAAATCTGACGTGGAGGGGTTTTCTGAGTTTTCCACCCCTTATAATAGCGAACCAAACAGCCCCTTATCGTCAATTGATATTGACATATTTCATTGACTTGGCGTAATAAAGTCTCATATGAAATGATGGACCTTCGTTTAAATATCCTCGTGAAATGAAGCTTGATGGCATTTTAGTGAAGAACTTCTATAATTGTAGTTGTGTATTTTTATTTGTTTTTCAGTCAATACTATTTACGCAATATGTCACAAGTTAATATTTCATGAACGGAATGTAAAATGAAATAAGTTATCCCACACAAGCTATTCAATCAATACTACTTGCTCATAAATCCCACCATATCTCTTAACTAGATCTTTGATTGCACTGACAAACCTCCGTGTCTAATACCAATTTTAATTTAAAAAAAAACACAAACTACTTGATACTTATCCTTATTTTCATTTTAATCTCATCATTCTTACTCATCCTATCTAATGTGAGACTGTACTCACATATGAATTACCTCAACAGAATGATCAACACATTTTATGGCACATCAAGAAAATTTATTATGTCAATTGATAAAAAGTGAGTAATGATCCGATTAGACTTTAATTACATGGCCAGTGATCCAGGCAATAAAAACACAGGTTTAAACAAAAAAGTTAAGAAATAAATACTGTGATTGGTCACCCAACTGACCCCTAACTCTTATATCATAATCATTATTGATTTGGATCCGAACCGGGCCTGGCCCGATGACTGACTACCCGGCCCTCAACAAACACAACATTTACATAAAAGTCCATCACCTCTAATCTAGTTGCAGATAGCCTTCTCATGATAATTAGAGAAAAGGATTTCTCATTCCATGGCCGCTCTCATCTCTCTATTTCTTCCAGCTCTTTGTTCAGCTTCCGCACCCTAAACCCTAAAAAGTGAAATCTCCCCCAAACCCTAACCCTAACCCTAGAATTTAGATGTCAACAATGGCGACCGCGATCTCAAGCGCTTTTCTATCTCCAAAACCTCGAACCTCTCGCTCCTCTGGCTCGTTGATTTCGACTGGTCCTCTCATTTCCTCGGTGAAGTAAGCCGTCGAAATTCTTTCAAAATTATTTAGGTTTAAATATTTGGAGATGAATTTTGAAATCTTTACTGGTTTGCTTCAATTTGCATTTGTTATTTCTGTATCTAATACAGAATATATTGGTTTATGCGAGATTGGTGTAATATTTGGAAATTAATCATTATGGCTGTTGATGTGCCCTAAATGAAGCCAATTCTCGTTAATCTAGAGTGGAAAACAAACTAGGAACCGTAAGAACAAGAAAAATGATAAAGGTTGCAGGAATTCCTTTAGAATACACTGGGAAAATATGTAGCTTTGGGATATAATTATTTTTTTACAGACGGCATTGTTTCAAATTCATACGACGTATGTTTAAATAAGAGGGATGAGTGCATATATTAGGATTGTGAGTAAGGGACATAGACTCTACTTGTTTCCAACTTTTTCCATAAAAGATGCATTTGCCTCTTCTATACGACTCTCGACCTGGCCCATCATGAGCCAACACTTGTCTCCTTGTCTTCTGAATTTCCTTCTTCCATACAAAGCCATCTGTTAGTCCTGCACAATAAGCATCACATCAAGGATTCAAGCTTAATTGACACGATGAGTTATAAGTTCTATGAATTGGGAATTGTTGCTGTCGGTCTGGATCGACGTGGTGTCACCTATGTAGATTTGAATAGTTCAAAACACTCCAGCCCATGGATCAAACTGTTCTGAAGTAGTAAATTTGTAGGGCAGCTTAAAAGTTGTCCTTGGTAAACATGATGCTGGTTTCAATCCCTCTTACTTGTTCACCTCTTTCCGAAGATGAGGCATTGGTTGGACGGTTCTGAGCTACGTTATTTTTAATACATGTCGGTTTGGTTATATATAGATCAATATGGAAGGCGTTTCATCAATTTGGTAATCTATTGAGCCATCTCTCTTTAGGGATCTCATTCACCACCTCAGCGCTTGCTGCATGTGTATACACAGGCATTATATTTGTTTTTATGTTATTTCTATGATCCAGTTTTAACTAAACCTCTATATGCTAGATTTTCTAGGATGCCTATGAGGCACTATAGGATGATCTGCAAAGCCTCATCTGCTGCTGGAAACCCACATGCAAACAGCGATGAGAATCCGTATGAAGTAAGATTCTGCCCTCAGTATTTCATACATCTTGATCTTCTATAATCGAGCATTGGTTGTGTTTTCTGCTAGGTTCTTGGAGTGAGTCCAATAGCAGGGTTTGATAATATGAAAGTTGCATATACAAGAAGGCGGAAGGATGCAGAGAGAAGGGGGGATGAAGCATATATAGCTAAAGTAGGTCAAGAAGGCTTCTTTGATTAGCATTGTAGAAATATAATTAGAAATATAATTAGTTTGTAGATGCTAATTTTCCTTCACAGCATGGTTGGATCCATTTATTATTATACACAGTTTGATATTCTTTTTCGTTTTGTTTACTATGGTTATGGACTATGAAAATATAAATATTTCAATTTTGTACTCATTGTGTTTTACTGTTTGTTCAGCTAGATAGGGCATATGACAAAATCATGATGTTACAGCTGACAAATCGTAAGAAGGGTGTGACATTTGGATCATTTCAGGTTATTTTTTTCTCCTTGCAGATCCAAATTTATGAAACTGACATAATTCTCAAACTTTTTTTTAAAAAGAAACCTTTGTGTATGGTTACCTGCACAAATATGTGAAGATGTTTTTCATATTGTAATGAAAATGCTACGGAATTTAGCCTACATGTGCTAGGATTTGATACGTCAGTGTATACTGTGTTTTGTTGTATTCATATCCCATGTCAGTACCAGTGCAGTATTGCACAGACCAATTTAAGAACACTTCTACTGTAATGACTAAGAAGTAAGAACGGTCAATTGACTTAACTAGGCTGAGAAATATAAATGTATCCCATTTATTTTTTTCTTTTTTCTCTTTTTATTTTGGGGGATACCCTTTTATTATTCATTAGGAAAGAGCAGAATAATCTGAGTTCTATGTTTAGGATGTCAATAATGTCATGTTGCAAACTATGTCGGTGTAGATTTTGCAGAACTTTCAACCCTAGATTTTGATGATTTTTACTTCTCAGCTTTTTGCTAGATGATCAACAGGAAGGAATATGCTTAATGAATCTGGTAAATGTGGTCATGCTCCTTACATGGTCATCCATCAGAAGTTTATTTCTCAGAACAACTCTAATTACCTGGATGTTCAGCTGTCAATTACGGAGTTAGGTTGTCCTGGACCAAATTGAGATGGTGCCATATAGTTTGTACTCATGAATTTCGTTTAACACAATAGTTGAGTCTGTTGAGAAATGAAATACACTTTATTACGTTATCTTTTACTGTTTCTTGATACTTTACTGAGTGTGAATAATTGCACTGATTCTGTTATTTATTTTAATTTGTCCACTTATTCTCAGACATGTTTCATGACTCTTCCAACATTTAGGTCTCAAAAGATATCAAATATGCTGATAAGCTGCCAATTGTACCATGGGGGCCCAGGTATTCTTCAGTCAGAGTCTAAAAACATTTATTTATTGTTCTGTAGTTAGTAATAAAGCTGGTAAAATTCAGAAGGGCCATTTAGGCATGTAACTTCAAATTGTATGATCAGGCTAACTCGTTTGAGCCTAGCACAGCCTGCATGAACCTGATCCTGCTAAACTGTTGGATTTTAGTTGGCTCAATAATTGAATCCCAGGCTATTGGCAGAAATACTCTCATGTGAATGTTCATTACTTCATCCAGGAATCATGATTGTATGATAAAATTCAGCATACTTAATGAGAGATTGATATAAGTTTCCCCCCTCCATCTTTTCACCCCCTAAATAAGCATCAACCAAGCACCTATAGCGAGATAATGCACTGCAGTGGCTGCAGAAAGCTTTAACCAACTGTTTCATATATTATTGTCTTCTGGTATGTTCAAACAAATTGGTAATTTGGGTCGAAACCTATGATCTTAACCTAACCCAAGCCAAGTAATAAACGAGTGGGCCAATACTATTTTGACCTGAACTTGGTTAGGGCTGATTTGAACGTGAAAATTTCTGGTCACTTTTTGGTCAACCTGTCAGGTGGGGTCTGGATTGCCATTTCGAATCTATATGTTACATTGCTGCTTACTATCTCTGACATTGGGCAACTCAGGAAGCACTGTTATAAATAGCGGTAAATAGCCCCGCAATAGCGGCGCTAATAGCGTTAGCGGTCCCTTCCCGCGACGCTATCGTCTGCTACGCTATCGCGCAATAGCGGTGACATATTGCGGAATATGTCTGTTCGTAAAAACGGCCAATAGTGTGTCATAATGGTAAATAGTGAGCGATTGCATTCGGAATTTGCAATTTTCTTTTTGACTGCTATTTAAAAGCAGTTTGAGGCTTATTTTTTTTAAATTAAACTCAACCTTTGACCATTGTATTCTACCATCTCCTGTGATTTTTAACATACTCCCGCCACCTCTCATAGCCTCTGGCACCTACCTTGATACTTCCTCTCACCTCCTTCACTGTAAGCTCCTCTTAGAGCAGTCTTGTCACCGCTAAGCTCTTCTTCTCGAAGACGACGACTTTTTGACTCCTCCAGTCATCTTCGGTATTACGAGCTCTTCTTCTCGAAGACGACGACTTTTTGACTCCTCCAGTCATCTTCGGTATTACGTGATGGTTACATGTCTATTTCATGTTTAGGATCTCTTTAAATCATCCAATATGTACTTTTAGATTTTTTAGATTATTTTTTAATTTTTTAGTATTTATACATATCTAAATTAGACCGCTATTTGACTTTGCGTTTTTTACCGCTATTTTTCCGCAATAGCCCGAAATAGCCTTAGTGATGCCTCACCGCTACGCGACGCTATCTGCTATCGATAACACAGGAAGAAATGCTTAGCTTCTTGGGATAATGATCAATATCAGCAATCACAGTCCCAAGGCTTAGACATCCAGGCAGGTTTGATGTTGGTTGTAGTGCAAGTGGTCAAAGGAATGTAAGCACCTTTTGGGGCCTGGACAACTGGCAGGTTGCTGTTTGGATCCCAAAATTCCTGCTATTATGCACCTGATATCGTATCTATGCATGCGTGCCCTGCTAACTACCTCTGGGACAGTTTGTCTGAGCTGGCTTCATGTCAAAATGATACATTAAACCCAGTCATGGATTTCTCCTGGAAGCTATTTTTGCCTGATACTCTATGACTTGTCTTTATGTTTCTGACGAGACGTGCATAGGCATCCTCAACTTCCATCAAACTATTGTAGCGTTCACTTCCCAGACATAAGCATCCAATAATTTCTGAACTCATCGATATCCTTCCAATTCCTGTGATCTAATTTCATGATAATTACTCATGTAACTTCTGCCATGTGGAGATTATGGTAAAATTTTCAAAGCTACTATTTTGTTCCCTTTCACTTTTTGTATCTATCAAAAGCAGATTGTGTATAATGGTAGAAAGTAGAAACACTTAGATGCATACGTAATAAGCTTATAAATTTCTTCTTATTTCTTGCTATAGAGAGAAGTCACTTCTAAGAGAAGTCACTTCTGATCCATCTGATTAAACGACTTGCTGAAGTGTATCTATCTGTAATGTGAATATTTAGTGGGCACCTTTCGCAAGTCCTTGTTCCTTTTGTACTGTAGACACAGAGATCTTTCTTGCTCCTTTACACTATTTCTTTCTCTTTCATCTTTTCTTTATCTTCCCTTACCTAACTTCTTCCTCATGGTTACTGTTGAACAAGCACCATATTGGTATAGGAAGATCCTAATTGGATCATGGTTCCTATCTATTTGGAGGCTTTGAAAGTGAACAGAGAATATGGTGTATAACAATGTATTCAGGAAGTGCCTGGACCTTGAAAATCTCTAGAGGTATTTATATGATACACCATTCATCTGAGATCATGCTGTTGGACAACTTGAGTTGAATATTAACAGATTAATATGGGTGCCCATGTTCATTTTTTATGTTTTCTTTTTATGCATTACATATTTTTTAGGTACATGGCATATTTTTTATGCAGAAACTGACAAATTACATGCTGATATGTACTCCATTGAGTGCTTAATGTTTTCCCTTGTTTTTTGTCCACTTGATCTGTATATGCAGGCCTTCGAGGTCTAGTGTGCAGGACATACGCATCAACATGGCAATATCTGCAGTGTTTGTAAGCTTTCTAAATTTGCCAAACAACTAGTTGTTTATGACATTCATGGTTGTCACTTGTATGAAATGGCAGATGGTGACACAAGAGAGATTACACCATTCCTCCAAAATATGAATGTCTATACAATGAATGCACATACATACATAAACACTAGACATATACACATTAATATGCATGCATGACCCCCACTTCTAGATTATCATGGTTGTATTTATGTTTCTTTTTAATCCATTTACGACTTTGAATGGGAAATCAGTCTCAAATCATCAAATTTTATGGAATAATTTAATGTATCTCATATTTTTATGTTAAAGCATATCCTAAATTTATCTTATAAATCACTATTTTCATGTATTTTTCTATTAAATATAATTTTGAAGTATGAAGGATATTAGATGATAACGCGACATGTGCGATGAATAAGACATAAGTGTTTTAACAATATATAAAGTTATGCACTAGAAGTGCCTAAAAATATGGGGAAACTATCGGAAAGTAAAATTTAAAAATAGTACATTATAAAGCTGAGAATCATTTAAAAGTATCTGACACAACCTACATGTGCCTAAGGAGTCTCCAAGAAGTTAGTTTGGTAGGTGCTGGGCATATGGACACAACTTGATAATAATCATGTCCTTCCTATATAGCAAAGAGCTCAGTTAATATTCATTCATATACAGCTGAGGATTGAAAAATCATTTATTCAATTAAAATTGAGAGTGAAGTTCCAACAAAGTTCCCTACTTGTTGGTGAGGTTACCTAAACATGCGACTGTATAGTATAAAGTTACAAGCTAATCACTACAGCAAAAGCAGTTATATGATTATGTAAAAACGGGGAACAACTCCTTGCTTGAGAAATTTCTTTCTCTGCCTCTCAAAAGGTTATGAGGGACCATCCAAATGGAAATGATACGATCTGAAGACTCTTCACTCAAGTGGCTGTAAATGACATGATCTAAAGGCTTGATTGGTGGTAATGGTTGAATGCTGTTCATTTTTTTTACTTTTCTTTTTGGCCCACTTTTGGCATGTATGCTATTGCTACCATGTTTCTTGGGCGATTGACATTCACTAATGTCAACTTCTCGGATGTCTCCTTTTGACTAGTTTCACCACTGATTTGGCACTCATATGACACTTTAGCTTCTTGCATTCTGTAGTCACCTCATGAACATTCTATTTTGTATGACTGTTATGTGGACATAGGTATCTTATGAACTATGAATGTCAAGCAGTTTCTTTAGCTTGCTCCTCAGTGCAAAGTTATTGACATACAAATGCAAAATACAATAAGCGGTGCCTGGATAACTAATTTATATTTTGTTGTTTTGTATTTTGTAACTACACATGCTTATATCAGTTAAGCTCGATACCTCCTATCTTAATACCATCTTTATCTTACTCATCGGCAGATTGTCTGGATTTTGGTCCAACGTAATGCTGACTGGAAACCGTTACAGTTTCTAGCTTTCGTGTTTTTCTACCGACTATTTGAGAAGTTGAAATCTGCTGAGCCGGATGTGGCCCCCGTATTAAATGTGAGCTTTAAAATGCCACCACTATATTATCTTTTTTTATTGCCAGATAATTTTTTGGTAAGGCCATACAAGAAATTTCTCCGATGAATGATGGGTAATAATTAAAGGATACACCGCAATGGGCCATTTTAATGGAAGATACTACTTTTCCTTCCTGTTGGGGGGGGGGGGGAATGGAAGATACTACTTTTCCTTCCTGTTGGGGGGGGGGGGTATCTCCGAAGTAGTAAAAAGAGTTTCATTTAAAAAAAAAATCCTTCACTAGAGTAAAGGAAGTATTTCAAGCACATTTAATGAATCATGCATTGGCTCTATATTGCAGGAGTATGGTGAGGATGAAGGCAGGCCATTGCGCATGGGAAAGCGTGTACTTCGTTCTCTTGCATTGATTTTTGGATGTATGGCGGCTTCATCTCTGGTATGTCATGGTGATACTGTTTTTAATTTATAAGAGTGCTTGAGCAAATCTCACCAGCATTCTATTACAAAACTAATTTTTTTTCTTGTTCTGTCGGTTGATGAGTTTTTTTATCTTGTTCTATCGGTTGATGACATTGCAGGGATATACTGGAGTCCTCAACTTGATTGAATTTATTCGCGGTTATATTCCTGTCTTTCTTTACAATAATCAGGTAACCTACAGCCTGGTTTCAAAATAGCAACTCAGTAGTTAGGCACGTAGGTAGTCTGGTTGGCATTAACATTAATTCCTATTCTTATCTGAGTCTAGTATAATATCGCGTGAACACAGTTCCTGATATTTATCAGATTTAAATAATATCTGAGTTAATTGCTCAGTTGTTGTTTCTTTGGTCTACAAAGATTCACTTAATACATACTATTTAACTTCTAATTAGCATGTTTTATCTGGATTACTTTTTAAGAATTAATTTATTCACAAAGCATTCATGAATTTCTCAACTATTCATGAGATGTTAACAAATATAGCAATATGTATTGAATGTTAATCATCATGGTAAGTTGCTGATGGTGATACATTGTCTTTTTGGTCGCATAGTTTATGATGGAGGATGTTATATAATTTACACTATTCTCAGTTGTTTCTTTTGTTTATCGTACGGATAATTTGGTTAATTGCGAGCACTTGCATTGGCATATAGTCATATGGTGAATAACGGTTAGAACTGTTTGTTTCGCAGGAGGTGATTGTCACGGTAGCTACCTCTGTCCTGTGCTACTTCATGGCTTCATACTACAGATGACATTTCAAACCACTGTGCTAATTTTTTTTTTTTGGATGGAACTGAAGTAAAGAGGGTTCTTTTGAAAGCGGTCGGGGATCTTGTGAAAAATGATTCAGAGGAAACTCTGCCCTTGAGAGCGAGCGACAAACGCAAATTGAATTATTATATCAGGAGCATGTATACATAATAAGCCCTAGCGTGTGGAGCTGTGGATTTTTTGTGCCGTAGCTGTGCTTGTCGAAACGAAACTGATGAGAAAATGCCCGAATACTCTTATGTTAAACTGATCCATCGTGGTTTTTGGCTTATATTTTGGAACCATAATCTTGTTGATGCTTGATCAGTTCCTCAGTATCCATGATATTTTGTAGTGAGACGATATGGACCTGTTTATGATCAAGGGTTCACTATTTTGTACTCACGTCGGTACTTTGTTACTCAACACTGTTTGTTATATATATCTTAATTAATATCTGGAAGCATTGAGCTCTTTTGCACCTGCATGAGACGCAAACCTTTGTTCCGTTACATGTCCCGGTTCGAAGAAAGTGTTGGTGATCTCAAAAATAACAACTGTTCTTGATTGCAAAATTGTAACGCTCATAATTACTACGTTTATATTAGAATAATAAAAAAACTGTTCTTGATTGCAAAATTGTGACGCTCACAATTAGGAGAAATTCTTAGATGCTCATGGAGCACCTAAGTGTCTACACCCCCTCCAGCACGATGTGATGTCACATTCGCCCATCTGGTGCCACATGACCCTCTCTTATTGGAGGGAAAGGGGGTATGTAACCTGTATTACTAGAGGGGAGAATGTGATGCCACATTCTTCCCTCTGGTGCCACGTGGCCCCCTTTTATTGGAGGGGTGTAGGCATCTTGCCTATTTCATGAGTAGGTAAGAATTTCTTCATAATTAGGCATGCAACTTTTCATTTCTTTTACAATTAATTCATTTTTTTTCTTTATCAATGCATTGATTTCTTCTTGTTGTATTTTTGTCATTAATTATTTTTCTGGACATTTAAATTAAAAGCTAACGTTGTAATAAAAACACGGCTAAAAATTATGTAGCTGTTTAATCCAGGCCCAATGTGTTCGATCTGGTTGCCACGTGTTCATTGGATGAGGATCACAGTACCATGTTTCCCGCGAAAAATAAGATCGGAGGCAAAAAAAATTTATTCATTTCTTAATTTTAATTTTAATTTTTCTCTTTTTCTCTTTCCTACTCAACAACATTCCTCTCCCCGTCCAAACTTTTCTCGAAAATTTAGCTAAAATTTCTCTTAAGTCGCCGCCGGATGCGTCAACGGAGAGATTCCGGTGGTCTAGGGTTCCGTTCAATCCCGTGAGTGTCATCCTTCTTTTAGATTATTTATTTCTTCTTTGGAGAAAGAAATTTGATAATAATTGATCAATAGGTTTTTGCGATCTAATCTGGTGTTGACAAATCGAAAGAGAAATTGTGGATAATTGATTGATGATCGTCATCCATGGAAGCCAAAACAACCGAGGGTTTCTTGTTGGATTCGAGAAAGTTTCCGCTTTCGATCGACTTGATGCCGTCTTCATCCTTCTCCTCGTGTTTGCTCCCCACTAGCTCTCTCAGATGGAATGGCAGATCCAGCTAATTATGGGAATCCTGATCGCGAAACTGAGCAGGTATTGATTCAAAAAGAAAACCCCTCAAAGATTTTCTCTTTTCGAGATTATCGATGCACTATTGATCTTAATTTGTGAAATGCTATGCAACACTACCTAATAGATTAATATTTTTCGATAAAATTGGTAACTGAAGCAATATTGCACAATATTTTGGGTAAATTGTGGATAAAATCCCCCTTGCTATACATTTGATTGCATTTATCACCTCCTGACTATTTTAGTAGTACCTAACACCCTTCAGTTCGCAATGAGGTTTATTTGCAATTTACACTTATCATAAGGATTATGTTAGTGATGTATCCTTCTTAATTGTCGCTTAGGTCTACCTCAGTCCTCCTTACTCGAGTTATTCTACTGAAAATGGAGTGACTGCAATTAGTAATGCAGACAATAGTAAAAAAAATCTTTCCGAAACTTGATGATTAGCATGACTTTCGTAACTATGACTTTACATAGTTGAGAAAGCAAGAGCACGTTTACTGAAATAGCAGAGGAGATACTATGCTAAATATACTTTACAATTGAAAAGAGGCTTGTTAGTGTTTAGCTTGGAAGATTTGTTGGTTTCTTTACTGAACATTAGTTTGTAAGTCTTATAAAAAAGAAGTGCTTTCTCTTTGCTGAAATTCAAGTTGGCACCAAGGTTTTTAAGCACCAAACTGCTCAAGATGTTGTCGGAAGGTGAATTAAATATGGATGGAGGTTTCCTATATTTGAAGATGTGTTTGTTTCGGTGATGGCCATGTTGTGCTTATATTATTGAAGTGTCAGAGTAATCCATTTCCTACAGTGCAGAGTATCGGGAAAAAATAATTTTGTCCTCAATGGACCTATACCCTAGTCATGGAACTTGGGAATCGTTCCTTATATATACAACCTGTGTAACCAGAAAACCCTTGCAATCCATAACCCGGATCACATGCTCCAGCTTGTGGGACGAACCATTTGGAATATCGACATCAACATTTCAGATCTTTGACAGCCATGCAATGCAACATGTATGTCCCTTCAAGTCCTCAACCACTGCTAGGTATCAATGTGATCAAGTATTACATGTGCAAGTCTCAGAGAGCTCCATGTTTAGCATCCATATGACCTTCTAAATCTACTTTTGGTTTATCATGCTGGTACTTAAAGTAAGCTGTTCAATAGATGATATATGGCCAGTTATCAGTTTTTCTTTCGAGTTTATTGAATTGAAGTTCATGGTTGTTATATATTACATAAACCATACATTTGAGTAGAAGAAAAGTGACCACAGTTTCACCTACTTGAACTTGAGACTCGTCTTTCTTTTGTCTATATGCATTCTTGTGGTTGTTAACTGATCACAGTTATTTTCTTAATAATTACTTAGGTTTATGTCATTTCATGTGGAAGGCAAAAGATGTCATGTTCCTGCATTCTTTCTCATATGCATAAATTTTTATCCTCTTGGGCCATGCTATTTTTTATTTACGCTTGTTATTTATGCTGTTTATGCTTCGCTTGTTATCTTTTGACTAAAGATATTGTTTTCTATGTTCTAAACATATGATTATCAATTTTGAAGGCCCTTCTTGCATTGAAGAAAGGATCCCAGCTAATCAAATATAGTCGGAAAGGAAAACCTAAATTTTGCCCATTCAGAGTTTCAAGTGTAAGCTACATTTTTCTTTCTACACTATGTAGTTTTACGGACATTACATTCATGCATACAAGGTTTACTTACGACCTTCTTAATGTTCTTCTGATTTTCCTTATTCTAACCAAAGTTAAAAAAGCAGATCGTGAAATTCCTCGTCTCGAAAGTTAAATGGAAAGTTATTCAATTGGCTAATGACAAACTGATACGTTCGTAGTCTTATTTTGTCATCATCATCATTCATGATCATCATTATCGTCCAAGCTGTTATCATCAAAATATACTGATTTATTTTAGCCTTTCTATCATTTGGTTGTTTCATGATAAGAAAAATGCCTATATGCAACGAGGCGCAACATCTGGGTTTGTGTGAGGGTAGGAACTAAAGCACATTGTCACTTCAGTCAAACTTTGTACTTTGTACACATTGTAGAATTTTTACCTCATATAACTTATGAGAGATCCGAGTTTGAATTTGAGGATTTGTGTTTGCTTCAAATGTTATACTTTTAAAATTGAGCAAATGCAATTTGATTCTCATAAGGCTAAAGATAAGCTACATTTTTGATCTCAACAAAAGGGTATCATCTCTCTTGTTATGATGACCCTCAAAGATTTCGATTGCATCATTGAAGACTATAAAAATAGCATTCCATCTTTATGAGTACACGACTATAACAATTACATAAGCATTTTTTAAAATTTAATGATTAAAGTGTAACAGCTCAATTCATCAACATAATATTTGAGACAAGAGCTTGATAAAAGGAGGGGAAACAACTTTCCTTCAGTTATCAAAAATATTTATTTTGAAATTCTTAACCTATGCCTACCCATTGCAGACCCGATAAAAACACCACACTTCGTCTTGTCTAGGCCTCATTTCAAAAACTTCTTTTTAGTAATTCCACCGATTCACCAGCAGCTTTTTTACCAGCAGTAAGCACTGTAAAAGACATTAAATTTGTCCATCTCTAGCATAGTCTGGTACCACCCATCCATCTTGTTTGAAACGATTTAATCTTTCCTACAATTCTCTATAGACAAAAAGTTCAAATATCAGGGCATCAAAAAAGGAGGTATCACTCTTTACCATGCTTGCTTGACAAACATATTAATAGTAGCTAACAAATATGGACTATTATAAAGTACTAATACCTGGTAGTCTAACATTGATGGCCTGTGACATGCGTCAAATGTTTCTATAAATTAATCTTCACTTTAGAAATAAATTGATCATGTAAAACATAAGAAATGTCTACAAAGAAAGTATTTTAAAATGAGGTTATAAACATGCAATTATGCAAGAAGAGGATTTATACCGTTGGATAAGCCGACACAGTCCGAAATTTTCTATTTCTACTGATTTCCACTTATACCGTTGCAGGAGCTATTAATTATAGGAAAACATCAAGCTCGTGGCCCTACTGGAGTCATGATCGCCCTCCCTGCTCATCACAACCCTTCTTTGTTTCGTATTAGTTTTTCTTCTCTTATCTTCCATGCTTCGCAGGCTCACAAGCTTGCCATCGATTTTCGCCTGAAGTCCAAATTTCCCAGCAGAAAAATAATATAAAATACTGCATATTACGTATGAAGGTAAAGTTATCCAATGACTAAAAATTTATATGTTATTCACCTTTATATGAATGATTTATAATGTGCATCATTTTAAGTCAAGAAATGTCAAATGCACGGCGTGCTTAAGAAGAACAGCAAGCATTCATTCTTTAGGTAAAAAAAAAGTGTCAAATTTTAATGCAAGATAATTGGATCATCGCCATTTCTTCAGCATTTTTCGTTTCTTGATGTCACGGATCATATTCAACCTGTTAATCTTTTCGGCTTGTTGATCATGTAACAAATCTCAAGGTTTAGTAGCCCAATCAAGCCCCTCCAAGCTCCAGATAGTGGCCTCTCAACAACCTTTTCGACTTGCGTTCTAAACCTTGAAAAAACTCTTGGTCATCTTTAAACTCATGGAGCTCATTTACCTTCTGTGATCTTTCACCCAACTTCTGGAACTACTGAATCTGATTCTTCAGTTCGTTTCACCAAAGGCGTTAACGTTTTCTCCATTATTTGTCACTCAATCTTAAACCTCAACCTTGTGCCAAAGAGAAATAGAGGAGAACAAATCCTAAACCTTCAAAATAAACAGGAAAAATATCAGAAATCTTTACAGCACACATCTAATTTTAGAGAGTCATAATTCATTAACCTCGATTAAGACATATAAAAATTTCAAATTATAGGAAATGCAAACTAACAATTGAATTGCTATAAAAATTAAAAAAAATTGGGCAAAGCCTCGTCCATGTTTGATTAAGGAGAGTACAATGTTGGGAATTTTCACTCTAAGATGATCAATACCCAATACTTAAATTTAGAGAAGAGTAGTCGCCAATATTGAATAATTACTCGAATGATAACCTTATAAATTTTAGCAACATTTGCCGACCATATTGTTCTGGAATTTAGGGTTTAATCTGAACCAAGTCCACTTACTACCACAGGATCAAACAAAAATATTTCAAGACACAGCGCTAATTTAGATCAAACTTATTCTTCTTCGGTAACACCTTGTACTTATCTGGCAATATTGCACAATTTTGAAGACATTTTCTTCTTGCCTGATTATTGGCACTTAAACTCCTCTATTTCTACAGATTTGCAAAGACCAAGCTGAAGCAGAAGTGTGGTTTACAGGCCTTAATGCATTAATCCCTTCAGGCCCACAGAGACGTAGTGTAGTAGATGGGCAAAGTGATAGAATATCATGTTCTGATGTATGTTTATTACTTTCCTGAAAGGATATTCGAAAGGCTTTAGAATTTTATTTTAGTGGTCTTATGTTCAATCAGTTTCAGAGTCCACTCCTGGCTATAACTGTCTCTTCTTTCATTTTTCAGGATGGAGATTTTGGTCGCCTTTATGGTGCATCATTAGATATTACTTCAAGTACTAATAGCCGTGAATCTTTTTCATACTCGAGAAGATCAGATGTGGGATCAGACCATGCAAATATGCAGCTAAGAATAGTCTCTGGGGATGTTGGTAGAGTCAGTGTTTCTAGTGCCCCCAGCTGTTCTAGTCAAGGCTCTGGTCAAGATGACATTGAATCTTTAGGTGATGTTTATGTTTGGGGAGAGGTGTGGTGTGATGGTGGCCCATCAGATGGATGCTTGTGTTCAAAAACGGATGCTTTGATTCCTAGACCTTTAGAATCAAATGTAGTATTGGATGTTCAACAGATTGCTTGTGGTTCCAGGCATGCTGCTCTCGTTACAAGGCAAGGAGAGGTATTTACATGGGGTGAGGAATCGGGTGGTAGGCTTGGGAATGGAAACGATGCAGATGTGAGTCGACCTCATTTAGTAGATACAGTGACAGTTTGCAATGTGGAGACAGTTGCATGTGGTGAATATCACACTTGTGCTATTTCTTCTGCAGGGGACTTATTCACTTGGGGAGATGGCACCTATAAAATTGGACTTCTGGGCCATGGCACTGCTGTCAGTCACTGGAAACCTAAAAGAGTTTCTGGCCCTCTTGAAGGAGTTCAAGTTCTATCACTTGCATGTGGCACATGGCACTCTGCGTTGACTACTTTCAATGGGAAAGTATATACATTTGGTGATGGAACATTTGGTGTCTTGGGACATGGTGATCGAGAGAGTGTTGCATACCCCAGAGAAGTGGAAGCTCTGAATGGGTTAAGGACCGTGAGGGTTGCATGTGGAGTGTGGCATTCAGCAGCAATTGTTGAGGTATCGGGACAATCAGGTATTAATGTTATTTCCAGAAAATTATTTACCTGGGGTGCTGGAGACAAATATCGGTTGGGTCACGGGGACAAAGAAGAACGTTTGATACCTACCTGTGTCCCTTCACTTATAGAGTACAACTTCCATCAGCTGGCCTGTGGACATGACATGACTGTTGCCCTTGCAACATCCGGACATGTTTTGACATGGGGAAGTACAGCATATGGTCAGCTAGGAAATCCACAGTCTGATGGTAAACTGCCTTGTGTAGTGCAAGATAGACTCTCAGGTGAGTTAATTGAAGAGATTGACTGTGGAGCATATCATGTAACTGTTCTTACTTCACGAAGTGAAGTTTATACATGGGGAAGCGGTGCTAATGGAAGATTAGGACACGGAGATACTGAAGATCGAAAGACACCTACTCTTGTAGAAGCTCTGAAAGATAGGCATGTCAAGAGTATATCATGCGGTTCAAATTTTACAGCATGCATTTGCATTCACAAGTGGATATCCAGTGCAGACCAATCAGTCTGCTCAGGGTGTCGACAAGCATTTGGATTTACTAGAAAGAGGCATAATTGTTATAACTGTGGACTAGTACACTGCCATGCCTGTATTTCAAAAAAGGTTTTGAAAGCTGCACTAGCTCCAACTCCTGGCAAACCACACCGAGTATGTGATTCTTGTTATTCCAAAATAAAAGTTGGAGAGTCTGGTATTTCCTCAACTCTGGGCAAGAAAAATGCAGTTTCTCACCGATCTACTGATATCAAGGAGAAGTTTCATCGAGGAGGAACAAGATCTTCTAGAGTTTTATTATCTACTAATACAGGGGCAATAGCTGCACCGACACCTCCTCCTCTTCCAGCCAATGCCTATTCCAAACCTTCATCTCCATTTTCTAGAAGACTAAATGCTCAGCCTATATCTTCTGGAAGTTTCTTGGATAGCCTTAAGATGAATAATGAACAACTCGACAAGGAAGTTATAAGATTACAAGCTCAAGTAAGTATAGCAGATATTATTTACTTATCAACTACATGAAATTAATCGTCTATCATCATCTTATTTCACATATTCACCTCTCAAGAAACTAAAATTCTAAATTTAATTATGCATGGATTTTCTAGGTCAGAAATCTGAAGCGCAAATATGAACTTCAAGAGCTAGCATTGAAAAAGTCTGAAAAGAAAGCTGAAGAAGCTACTTCTCTAATAGCGGAGGTATCGACTAATTGCAGTACTGTAGCAAAATATATCAAATCAGTTGAACTACAGGTAACTTAACATGTATCTTTAAGGTTCTCAATTATGTTCTATCTCTTATTTTGGTTTTGCTTATGTTAGAACAGTGGCAGATCCGGGATTTTTGAAAAATGATGGCACTATATAATAATTATATTAATAATTAAAAAATTTACAATTGTCACTGACGATTTATCTTATTTTGAATAAAGTGCATAATGGCATCATTAGTAACTGTCAAATACATCTTTCTCAATATATGTCTCTAAGAAATTATTGAGTCAATCATCACTCATTTTATTCTGCAACTTGCTCTTTATCAACTTCATTTAAAATTAAAAAAAAGCTCTCCATAAGTCGGTAGCCACGGACAAAATCCCCAAAAATCCTAAATTCTATACATAGAAAAACAACAATAACTAACTACAAGGGCAAAGCAAGGAGCAGTCAGAGGGGATCTTATCAAAGCGAGGAAGGGAAGTTAGTGCAGACGAGAAGTCGGATGAGTTATGGCAAAGTCGAAATATACCGAGGGGCGGAGAATTGGAAGGGGAAAAAACAGTGTCAGAAAAAAAATATTATTCACGTTTATCCCAATTAGATTGCAAGAGACTTCTTTATTATTATTATTATTATTTTTTTTTGGGGGTGGGGGGTGGGATTCAGGGGTGTGGGATCTCTCTCTCTCTCTTTTTTTTTTTTTGGGGGGGTTCTAATTGATCTTGGTCGAGTGCGGATATTAGTCTCTTCGGTTGTGTAGTGGGGTATGCTATTAATGTGATAAAATTTTGGGTGTTAAATAAGGTGAGGGTCTTAGTATTCCTTAGAGCAAAGTGGGGTCAAGTGACCCCACTATGCTCAATGTAGATCCACCTATGGCACTATTGTGAGAAACGTTCTTCACCTTACTTCAATTCCAACTTTGGCATTATATACTTTTCAACTTTCCTAATCGCAAGCTTTTGTGGTTATCTTATGTTACTGACTTTAATTCACTCCCTTAAGTTCACAGGGCCCTTCTGGATATCCCATATTTTGCAAAGCTTCCTACTACACAATTCATTATTTCCTAATGTTTTGCTTTTGTTCATCATATACATTTATTATTTCGGTCTTGCACTCTAAGAACTGTGGATAGAAGTAATCTGGAGGATCTAATCTGACCTTGTTTCATGGATTTTCATTTACTGTGCATCTAAATTGATATGATTGCCCTAATAATTGAGAATATTTGAAAATATAAGAAGATATCCTTGTGCACATACTTTATACAATAAAATGGTTAGTATCTAATATGACTTGAGATATTTTCTCAATATTAAATGTACCTTGACTCTCAATCTCTTCTTAAGCATCTATGTTCGTAGAAGGCCAGTTATGGGCAACGGCACTGAAAAGTGATCAAGTTCAACAATGAGATAAAAAGAAGGACATTTTAGATGAATCAAATTATGTTTTCACATAGATTTTAATAATATCTGCTCATATAGATTTTTAGGCCATTTAGCCTTTGTTCCTATCAAATACGCTCATTTGAGGTTCAATTCATTTCCATTTCCAATCAACAGTCATGTTCATGAGTAATCATTAACCTTTTCTACTCAATTTGAATGAATTCATATTTATCAAAAACACAAGGAAACACATATAACAATGCAAAATATTCACTCCAATATGTTTGTGTTCGCATTCCTCAAGCGAAGAATGTCTCTTATTCTTCTCTAGAATGCTCATGTGCTGTTCATATGATCAATGAATTGACAAAGAAGGCATGCAGACCCTGTTCCTGCCTCAGATTTCATATCAATTAAGAATAGGATATAACCTTGTTCTTTTTCTATTATTTTCTGTGGTTTCACCCATATACTCACAAAATCTATGGTATTTTTAGATTTACCTTCAAATCATCATATCTGCCAATCCCCCAATTTACTGTTAGACTTTCAAGTTACCGTGTCAGTTTCCCTATTAGAGAATGTACTTTGTATATTCAACTATTTTGTTTTTCCCCCAAAATATGACTGAATTAACCCCATCACACTTAACACAAGTAGCCCTCTCTTTCTCAAGAGACCATACCACTCTTCTTCTCCTCACTTTTGCCCAGTGTTTTAAATATCGGCCGACATGTCGGACATGTCGGCCGATATAGCGGATCGAGGTGTCGAGCGACACCAAATCGGGGAAATACAAGTCACATATCGTTTTTGGGTGATATATCGGTCATGTCGGTGAAAAATCGGACATATCGGCCGATTTTTTTTGTTGAAAAAATCGTCCGAATTTATGAAAATCGGTTCAGCTTATTGGCTTTGGTTTGGGTTAATTAGGATCGATGTCTTGCCCTCTTTTCGAACCCGATAGACACCCCAACGACTGAATACACCCGATCAAAAGAAAAAGAAAGGAGAAAAACACCGATCCAAAAGAAAAAAAAGGAGAAAACGCTAAGTTCTCCTCGCGACTGGGAACCAGGCGGCCTCCCTCTCGTCGTTTGCCTTCGTGGCTCAACAACAGCAAAAAACCCTAGGCCTTCGTGTCAGAAATCCGAAGCTCCCTCCTTTTCTTCTGCGCCATCGGAGCCGCCTTCTCATATGTGGATCTCCCCGCGCCGCCGCCATCGAAGCTCCTTTGGTAAGCTCTCTGACCTCTCTCTCTCTTTCTCTCTCTCAAAGATAAAGAAAACATAGATGATTCTCTGATTCTGACTCTTCGTGCCTCTCTGAAGTCTGACGCCCTCTCTCATCTTCGGTATCATCATCATATTATTATCATCATTGTTATTTAGTACATGAAAATTATTGAACCTGCTCCTTACACAAATGAAAGTTATTATGACAGATTATGTTTACAGTACCAGTATGTCACTTTCAAATTTCACTTTATCCTTTTGACATTAGTTCTCCTATTATATACATGTGAAGAAATGCTTCCGGATTTATCTAAACAGTTGTAATTATTTATTTAACTGGAAGAGTTATACACTTCATGGAGAAGAAAATTCTGATTATTGTTATTATATCAATTATATTTTTCTTTCATCTATATGAAGCTGAAGAATTTGGCTGGGAAAGTTCCAAAAGAGGTGGGCGATAACTTAAAAGCCATTCTTAAGCAAGCAGAATCATTGTTGAAAGATAAAGGAAGTCATGCATCAAAACTTCCTTCATCCTTGATGAAGTCTTCTGAAAATGGTGTTGACATCCATTATGAAAGAACACAGAACCATAAAGATAAGTCAGCTGTTGCTAACACCAGGGAGGCTACAGGTCAGCAGAATATTGAGAATGGCTCTAGTGGTGTAGAAGTGACTGAGCAATTTGAGCATGGCGTATATGTAACTCTTGTTCAGAACCCAGATGGTACGAGAGATTTCAAAAGGGTCCGATTCAGGTAGTCTCTTGCCACCGCTGTTTTTATGCACACATGCGCATATTTCACACCATTTGAATGTGATAGAAGGACACTGCTTCTCAGTAAGAAAATGTAGGGAACTAGAAATATTTATTTAACCTACAGGTGTAACAAACTTCTTTCTGTTTCTTTTAGGTTTACCTTCTCATCTTTTTTGTTCCAAGTAGCCATGTATCATGTATGTCGAGAGCATTAGTCTTCTATAACTAGCCATTGGGACTGCTGAAAATCTCTAGTCTATAGAGTCAACAAGCAGTATTTAGAGTTGGTCACAGGCAATAAATAAGTAATAGAAATAGATAAATTAAATATGTACAGTTTTATTTTTTTTCCTTTTAAATTATCTAATCTTTATTGCAGAAATTAGTATGCATACTAGTGTTATACCCACGTGTTGCTGCGGGAAATTTTTTTCAAGATGAATTATTTACCAAAATAATAAAATAAAATCTAAACGATAAACATGTAAGAAAGTTAGCAACAATTCTTTTTGCTATGATTTTATCATGCTAAAAACTTTATTATAGCCATGAATGTTTGAATTGTGCTTTAAATTTGTTAAACTTACTATACACATAATGAGAACAAAAGAGTTAGTATATGTCTATAGTCTATTTATAAAATAAGACTGCAGCCCTTTTTGTGATATATTCCTTTCTTATAAAATGCTTTCTGGTAGTCATTAGAACTTGAGTTAGCTTTAACTTTCTAAAACATATTGTTGAATTATGATTTAACTTTTTTCAACATATTGCATAATAAATGCTAAAATGTAATTTAATGAACATATTCATATTGATTTTCATCCTCTAAAATGTTTGTATAAATAATCAAGTACTTTATAATATCACTCTGTTCATATTGAATGGAAGTAGAATTTGAAATTTTTACATGCAAAGGCATTTATATCTGAATTTAAATGCAAAGGCATATATACTATCAGTAAAAAAATAGAAATTAATTATACTTTTTCCCATGCTCATGAAGTTCCAGTAGAGTTTTTTTTCTACTCTTAAATCGAAGATTAATGGTTGTATAAAATATTGTAGGATGAAGATGACAATAGTGAATTTCATAGTAAATTAGTAGAGAAAGAGATGTTATGAATTGAGAATTTTGAATGGGTTTGTATGAGAATTAATATGTTAATGGTGGGTTCAAAAGTATAATTTAATTCATGGGTTAAATTATTTGGAGGTTCTACAATAATGAAAAGTTTCTTTAGCGGGCCTTTTATACACTATAAGAGATGACTTTTCATATTCCCAATATTATCATATTGTTTATTTGAATTGTAAAAAAAAATGTTAATATCTAGAATTCTAAGAAGTTGCCAAGTGGCAACCTTAGGACCTTGTTTTCGTGTATTTATGTAGATAAATTACTATTACGAATTTTCTAAAGCAGTTTATTTGTAATGTGCAAGCAGCAGAGAAAGGTTTGGTGAGCGCAGAGCAGAAGTCTGGTGAAAGAAAATCAAGAAAGAGTATTCAAAATACAATCATCAGAACCCAAGTACGCGTTCCACATCGACTGGAGCTATAAGTTATTTATTTATTTTTTGAGTATAGGTGAATAGGGATATCCACAGAAGTGTAAAAATTTCATTTTGACAAAGATCCTTTGCTGTGGGTACTGATGGAAGAAGAACTCAATCTGTAGGATTTAAAAGTGTAATTCCTTTGTTCATTCATTTTTTTTAGTCCCTTTATTCATGTAATTGTACAGCAGGCAGTGGTATGTTCAAAGTTGTATGTAAGTTCACGTTATAAAAGTTGTGCATTCTAATTAGTTCTTCGGTTTCTGATTGTTTCACTCCTTGTTAACTTGTAGCATTAGTTTGTCATTTTTGTATAGTCAGCAACAAATACTATACATCTCCTATGTAATTCAATGTTTTGAGTTGGTTTATATTACAAACGAGGAAATTTTCACTGTAGACCGGTTTTTAGTTTTTATTACCTAAATCGACTGTGTTCTGTTTTATTTACCGGAATCGACCCGGTTTCTCGTCATGTCAGCGCCGTGGCAAGAAAGCGGGTCGATTAATTTTTAAACGGCTTCGTAAACAGTCGGGGTTGCCAACCCCGACTGTTTAGTCCATCGCCCGTTAAGAGGTTAACTAAATGGTCGGGGTTGGGAACCCCGACCATTTCGTAGGAGACCTATTTCGAAATGGTCGGGGTTCCTAACCCCGACCATTTAGCAGAGCCCAGCGATAGCTGGGCTAAACCACGGACAAAATGGTCGGGGTTCCCAAC